TGGGTGCCCCCTCCACTGGTCTAGGTGACGAGGGCAGTCAGCCTGAGCTAAGGAGTGGAGGGAGCATGCGCTTCAATCCCCAGACCCCGTTCTGTCCTGGCCCAGCCATTTCACTGGAGCCTCATTTTCTTGGTCTTTAAAATGGGTTCAACTATATGTTCCTCAGAGCAGTCTAGAAGCTTAAGTAGCACAATATGTGCCTAGCGCTGTGCCAGATGCACAGGAGGGACTCAGTAGGGGACAGGCCCTCATGCCCGTGGTTCCTGTGCCCCAAAAGCAGGGTAGCAGGGAGGCAGCCCCTTACTCTGGCTTTGTCCATGGCAGGTGGAGCTGGAGCAGGTGCTGGGCCTGGGCGTGGCCCCCTCACGCATCATCTATGCCCACCCCTGCAAGCCCGTCTCTCACCTGCAGTATGCTGCCCGCCATGGGGTGCAGTTCCTGACCTTCGACAGTGAGGAGGAGCTGACCAAGGTGGCCCAGCACCACCCTGGGGCCAGGTGAGATCAGCAGGTCTGCAGGCAGGCGGGGACAGGGACGAGTTCTGGCAAACTTGCTTGTGCCTCAGCAAGGAGATGAAGGCTGTTACGTGGTGACTAGGAGACGCCTAAGCAGCAAAGAGCAAGAATTAGTGCCAGGTGTCCCAGTGCCCTCCTTGGTGCCCACTCTTGTCAAATAAAGATTTCCTGTGTCTGCAGAGGCGCTGGCAGAGACTGGCATTAGGAGTTCTGGAGTCAGCAACCTCGTGGGAAAAGCACTCATAGGATTCAGGAAGACCAGGGCTCACATTTCTGACTTACTTGTCGCGTCTGTGTGTTCTTGGGAAAGTTACTTAACGTCTCTGATCCCGTGACAGGAGGTCTGCTGAAGGGATGTTTATAATTTTATCCTTTTCCTTCTTTTTCTGGCCTGGGCAGAAGTCTGTAAGAAGTAGTGTAGCCCTAACTGGTTTGCCTCAGTGGATAGAGTGTCAGGTCTGTGCACTGAAGGGTCCTGGGTTAGATTCATGTCAAGGGCACATGCCCCAGTTGCAGGCCTGATCTCCAGTAAGGGTCTTACAGGAGGCAGCCGATCAATGCTTCTCTCTCATCATTGGTGTTTCTATCTCTCTCTCCCTCTCCCCTCCTCTCTGAAATCAATAAAAATATATTTTAAAAAGTTAAAAAAGTAGTGTGTTCCCTCCCTGGACCTCCATGGCTGGACAGTCCCGAGGACCGAGGAGTTTGGGTGGGGACAGCAAAGCAACCAGGCTTGGGGTTCGTGAGTCTTAGAATGCCTGTCACCCTCACTCCCCCTCCCAGGCTCGTCCTGCGACTGTGGACCGAGGACAGCGGGAGCCTCATCCCCATGAGCGCCAAGTTTGGGGCCAGCCTGGAGCTGTGTGGACACTTGCTCAAGTCCGCCTGAGACTTAGGCCTGGCTGTGGTGGGCGCCAGGTAAGAGCACGGACTCTCCCTCCTGCGAGGCAGGGCTCCTGGTCCCCACGCCTGTCCGCAGCCTCTGACTCCCTGGGTGCCCTCGGGTCAGCGTGGCCCCTCTGGGCCTCTGGTGGCTCCCTGTGGTCCTCAGAAGAGGAGGTGGGTGTCAGCTGCTGGGAGGGTGGGGCAGGTAAGGCACTGGCGTTGGGTGCAAAATTTAGCGGGATGCCGAAAACTTTGTACTGAACATAAACAATGTTTTAATACAGTATTTTAAAAATTAATGTAGAAAAAAATCCATGATGAGAAAAAATGAAATTTTAAATCAAGACAGGATTGGCATTGCTGATATTTCTTTTTCCTATGGGTCCAATTACTGTTAACTAATGTTGTCTTTAATGTTTTTGTATTTTATTCATCATAGATATTTTTCCATCAGCAGGTTTGGTCTCTCTCTCTCTCTCTCACTCGGTCTTCCTCTCTCTCTAATATATATAGATGAGAGTCCCGGTGCACAAAATTTGTGCACTAGGGGCGGTGGTGTCCCTCAGCACAACTTGCACTCTCTCCAATCTGGGACCCCTCGGAGGATGTCTGACTGCCTGTGGGATCGGGCCTAAACTGACAATCAGACATCCCTCTCACAATCCATAACTGCTGGCTCCCAACTGCTCGCCAGCCTGCCTGGCTGATCACTCCCTAACCACTCCCCTGCCAGCCTAATCGATGCCTAACAGTTCCCCTGTTGGCCCAGTCTCCCCTAAATGCCCTCCCCTGTGAGTCTGGTTGCCCTCAATTGCCCTTCCCTGCTGGCCTGGTCGCTCCCAACTGCCCTCACATGCTGGCCTCTTGTGGTGGCCACCTTGTGACCACATGCACCAGCAGCTTCAGTGAGCACAGAGTGGGGCTGTCCACATGCAGTGCAGCAACTACGATGCTCTGCTGCCCACCCACCCCACCTGCGGAGCACAGCACCCAGACCTCCATGTGCCACCCAGACCACAGGAAGGGGCCCCGGAGTGGAGGGCTCTGAACTGGAGTTTGAGGAGGTATGAGGGGAGGAAGAGAGGGTGTCTGGGTGCCCAGCCTGGGTTTCCTGCACAGAGTGTCTGTGTGTGTACAGGGAGCTCTAGAACCTCAGTCCTGTGCCTGCATGTAGCTGGGCTTTGTGTTGGCTGAGAGGTCTCTGACTACATGCGTGGCATGTGCGCATATACGTGTGTGTGTGTGTGTGTGTGTGTGTGTGTGTGTGTGTGTGTGTTTGCATGGGAGCATGTGGTTCTGCACCTTCTAAGACGTGTTGGTTACTACCCCTGGTAAGGCTACAGTCAGATAGAGGTTTCCTTACTGTATCCCCCACAACCAGGGGACAGTTTCCCTTTCCTGATCACGTATTGATTTCAATGTTTCCAAGTCAGATCTCATGGTGCTACAGCCTGGTCACTAGGTTGTGCCCTCGGGCACTTCTCCCCTCTGGGCCACACTCTTGACCTGTCTCGTCCCCTGCACAAGGGGAGGGGG